GAAAGAATGCTGGCATCCATATACTGAAAGGAGGAAACAGTGAGTTTAGGCTGACATCGATGGTATGAAGATGTAACTGTCTCCTACAATACACAAATGACATTCATTATTGAAAATATGATGGGAATATGAGAGCAGCAATAAGTTTATAGATACAATTTGTAAATACTCAGGAGAAAAAGGAAAGGGAGTGTTTTGAAACAGCCTAAGTAAAACTTGATTATGGCATGGACAAGGGTTGTGTCTGTGGATAAGCCTGAGATATTCAGGGAGTGGAACCATATACCACTTGATGGACTGGATACAAACAACGGAATAATGAAAAACTCATGGGTTTGGGGCTTGAGTTCTAAGTATTAATAGATGCTGCTGGGAAGAATGGGGGTGAAACAGATTTTAGGTCAGGGAAAATCAGTAACTATCTCTAGATATCTTAATTTTGAGACAGCTATTAGAAACCTAACAGGAGACACTGACTATTTATTTAGAGGAACAAGACAGGAGTTCATAGTGGATATTTGAGGGAGAGACTCAATTTTGGAAATCAAATAAATGGATGAGCTCCCATAAGGAAAAGGTATTCTAGGAAAAAAAGAAAATTCTTTTGAATTTTCTTCGTAGAATATCTTATGATATGTGGATAATGGCAATTTTATTTCTCTTTTTCCAATACTTATTCCTTTTATTTATTTTTGTAGTCTTAACGCATGCCTTAGGATTTCCAGGACAATGCTGAGTAAAAGTGGTTTTAGTAGGCATCCTTGTTTGTACATAATCTTAAAGACAGACTCTCAATATGTGACCACTAAATATTTGTTTTCCTCTAGGTTATTTTGTAGATAACCTGCCTTAGGTTAAGAAATTCCTTACTTGTAGCTTCCTAGCATTTTATATTTTTCTGTTTTTAAAATTTTGAAGGGATGTTGAATTCTCTCTCAAATGCTTTTTTGTATCCATTGAAATAATAATAATATTTTCTTCTTTGAAATGATGATCTACTTCTAGAATAATTCCAACTTGGTGATGATACATTATTTTTTAAATACATTACTTTGCTAATATATTTTCTATAATTTTTCAACCATGTTAATCAACTAAATTGGTCTCTAATTATCATTTCCCATACTATGCTTAATGAGTTTTGTATCAAGGCCATAATCCCATACAATGAGTTAGGGAGACATCTTTCTTTTTCTGTTCTCTGGAAAATATGTGCAAACTGAAAATTATGTGCTCTTTGAATGTCTATAATAAGCTCTTTGCAAAGCTTCATGGGAAACCCTCAGTTACTTTTCCTGGAGACAAAGATAATACAGACTTATTAGGAGGGTGAGACATAGGTATTCAAGATTCATGACAATCATCAATTTGATAGGTACTAATTACTAGTGGCTGATGTTCTTTTGATAATTTTTTTAATCATAACAACCCTATGGGATAGTTTCTCTTATTACCCTCACTGTACATATTGAAGAACTCAACCTTGAGAGATCAAGAAGCCTGAGATCATGCAGTCATTACATAATAGAACAAAGATTTGACTGAGGTCAGCCTAATTCCAGAATTTGCAATATATATCTATTCACTTTGACAAATTTATTATAAAAAAGGGCAAACTGCTGAAAATAAATACTGTTTTTCTATGTACCAATTTGTGTTTATTTTCTTCTTGAAAATTGTGGTGATTAAAATAATCAAATTATCTGTGAAGGATATTTTTATTTTACTTGAATCATTACAATTTATACTTGGGCTCATATTCAGAAATCTTTTATTGTAACTATTATTTTCCTGAGGATTTTGTTCTTTCTAACTCTAGGCTCACTGTGTTAACTTTCTCTCTTGTTGACATGAGTAAGAGCATATCTTTTCTATTGCTGAAATCATGTCCATATGGACTTTTCTTCTGTGAATCTGATCAAAATGTAGAAAATAATTGTATTTATAATTAATACTATAATAATTCATATAATTGTTTTTATAATTAATACTATAATAATTCATTCAAATAATAGTGTAACAATTCCACAATTTACTTTAATGAATGCCTACAGTCTTTTTGTTCAGGAGAAAATGATCCATAAATTATATAAATGGTATATCTGCATAAAGTAATAGTTACTAGGTTGCTACATATGTTTTTGCTTTCTAATATTTTCCATACATATCAGTTGACTTTTGAAGTCCTCCCTTTCATATTTTAAAAACGTGGATTTACTTTAAAAAAATACATCAATGATAGTCATGCTAGGAGTTCCACAATTTAGGGGACTTGAAGAAAGTAATTAAATAAATGGAAATAAAAATATATTTTATATCTTGTGATAATTGGAATCATGCTGTTTAATACTCATGAGACTACAAGGACAAAAATATAATGAATATTACCAAGTAAATATGATTTAAGATTAAAGCAATTATTATTTTATTACAAACAGTATTCATTATCTATTGCTGTATAACAAATGACTCCAAAATTTAGTGACTTAAAATAATCATTTCATTTCTCAACATTCTGTGGGTCAGCATGGATTTTGGGGTTGGTTGATGGGTGAGTTGGGAGCTAGGGAGATGGGGTGCCAGGGATGGATGAGCCTCACTTTCCATGTGATTTTTCAACCTTGGAAAGACTAAATCGGGATTCTTCACAAGCAGTCTCTGGGTGGTGTTCCCATGAAAGGCAAGCAAAGGCTGGATGGCCTTTTAAGGCTTAGTTTCTAAAGTCACACAATGCTGCTTTTGTCACAGTGCATTGGTCAAAGCCAAGTGACAGGACAACCCATACTCAAAGGGTGGAGAAATAGATTACACCTCCTCATGGAAGAAGCCGCAACGTGGAATCACAACAGGACACAGACACAGGGAGCATGGCTCATTGGAAGCCATTATTTTAACAACCTACCACACCAACGAAATGACAGCTTGATACACTGCCTTTTGAAAGGTTAAGTCCATAATCTTTTTAACCTCATGCTGAGATATAAAGCACATTATATTGGTTTGAGAGTCTCATACATCACCCCAAACTGTTTCTTATGACATTTTAATGAAACCAGGGTGCTTTCATCTTTTCATATTATAAAAAGAGTTCCTCTGAGATGTTTTAATCTCAGCCATAAAAGAATACAGACATTAAAACGAATTTCAGCAGATGCCATAAATGAGAAATAATGAGATAAACTATTGGGATAGAATTTTAAAACTGTTCATTTTGATGGATTTATCGAAATAACAGCAAAATAAGAATGTGAAAGAATCAATTCAAATCATTTTGTAAAATGATTTGTTTGTAAAATAGACAATTCCAGTGAGTTTGGTCTGTTGTGAGCACATCAATGGCTTGCTAAAGGGAGAAAAACTAAAATCTGCTCTGAATTTTAGTTATAGCACATTCAAAAGTAAAAATTGTTTTCCCAAACGACATATTGTTTTAAGATCCACATTCAACATTCATTTATTGAAGACCTAATATGTTTCGGATATTATTTATTTAATCCTTACTGCTAATTCTAAACAATGGAATAGAGACATTATATTATTATGGTCATTTAACAAGAGAAAAATATAGGAGCAAAAATACTAATATGCTGAGCTAAATCTTAAATGTTGGCACTCAAAGTTAAATATATTTTTAAGAACTTTAGTGCTGTGCCATTACTATCTTCCTAAAAATTTTATCATAGCAAGTCGTTATGAGGTATGAAGATTTCGCAAAAATATTCCTTCTCCTAAATAATAATAAAAATAAGGCAGCTTAGTTACAAACTTTTTTTAGATAAATAATTGGCACTTCTTGAATGTTAATAACAAATGTAACTGGCCAAGAATGGAATACTTTACATGTATTTTTCCATTCAATTTCAAAAGATTGTCTACAAAGGAGGTACTGTTACTTTTAATTTTCGGTTTAGGAAACAGGCTTAAAGAAACCCTGGCACCATCTAAACCATTTAAATTCACAGAGACCATTTAAATTCTCAGAATCTTTGGTTAGTGCTTTAAAAAAATCTTCAAAACAGATTGTAAAATGCTGCCAAAGTTGAGAGTCATTGCTTTAAGTTGTTTCCTATACTTTTTTAGAAAAAAAGTGATGTCATTAGCAGCAAGGTTAAAAGATAAGAGTCAGAGAAAATTGAATAGCAATAATTTCATGATTCTCATCATTATTTTAAAATTTCTTAGTGTTTATAATGTTTCTTTTAAATATCATATGCTAATAGGTAAGCATTTTAAGGTATGTGAATATATCTTCTGAAGGACATAGATTTTGCAAATGCATACTTAAAATGATTTACATTTTAACGATTTTTGAAGGTTTAGACCATTAAGGTGAAATTTTATAAAAATGGTTCTTATATTTGAAAAAAAAGTATATAAATTACTGCCTGGATCAAAATCAATTCCTACAGAAGCACTTAAGAAAAAAATAAAGTACCATTTTACTGTTCAATTTTCTAACAGTTTAAAGTATAACGTCTTGTGGATAATTATTTTAAAAGCAGCGCCTGAATGAAAAATTCACATGTATCTTGTTCTTGAATTGTTTTCAAAATCTACCCCCAAATTAAGTCTATTTAAAATCCTTGAATATATTATATTATTCTATTCCGTGGTAAGTTTATATGTATATAAAATGATCTATAGCAAAGTATTGTCTATCTATATGTAAACATAAGTATAAATTAGTACGTATAACATTTGAAACCTGTGTCTATATTATGTACTCAACTAATCACGGCTAATCTATTCAAGCTTACTAACGTATCCAGCAAGTTCGGTTACTAAAATCACCAAATTATATAAAAAAGTAAAAATTCACCACAAAAATTCACATTTTAAAGTGAATAAATCCTCATAACAAGTAGATGATAAAAAGGAAATTCTTCTGTTCTACAGAAACATGAATGTAATAAGTTACCACTAACTTCAGAGACATAACTCTTACAATCAAAATGGGAATTTGAGGCAATTCAAAGGATCTCATTCAAGGCCAAACTTACCAGCAAATTTGATATGGAATTTATTTTCAGGCTTTAAGATCTGGACATACAAAGGGCAATTTGGAGCAAAATCTTTTACAGCCCATGCTCTCAAAATTGTTTGGTGGTCCTGAAATGATAAAAATCAAAATATCATGAGATAAATTGAAAATTTTATAATATATTAAGTAAAAATCATCAGTCAGTGTGTGAAATGGTCATATCTACAGTTTAAAATTAAGCATATGAAATCATTCTTTGTGAGGTCTTACTATTAAAGATAGTTATTATTTCTATAAAAGAGATCAACAATACCTAATTCAATCAGCAGTAATTATCAACACTTAGGAAATTAGCAGAGATTAAGAGGGAAGTCTCTTGACAAGCTTAAAAGTAATTTTCCCAGAAAATACTGGAGGGGCAGAAACCTTCAGAAATGCAGCACAACTGTTAGTTTGTAATAACAGTTTCCATGGAAAAAAAATATGGACATAAAATAATTTTAACATAGTTAGAAAGATTGTTAAAAGGGGAATGACTGCAGTGACTATTTGTGAGGAGAACACATTAGTTTACTTTTTATATGACAGTAAAGATAAAAGGATTTTGACTGTGTGTGTGTGTTGGAAGACCAATAACGTTCAGATATTAAAAAAATAACAGAAAAAAGATCTTTTAAAAAAGATGCTAAGACTGAGAACGACAGTGAAAATCATGCTTACCATGAAATTTTACACATGGTGTCACCCTATAAATTATTACTTAATTAACTGAATAAATCAAAGCAAATTACAGCTGTCCCTCAGTTTCCCGGACTCTCCGTGGACAATAAAATACAAGGATGCTCAAGTCCCTCATATAAAATGGCATAGTACTGGGGGCTACCCTGACGGCACAGTGCTTAAGAATCTGCCTGCCAATGCAGGGGACACAGGTTCAATCCCTGTTCTGGGAAGATCCCACAGGCTGCGGAGCAACTAAGCCTGCCAGCCACAACTACTGAGCCCATGTGCCACAACTACTGAAGCCCATTTGCCTAGAGCCCGTGCTCTGCAACAAGAGAAGGCACCACAATGAGAAGCCCGCGCACCGCAATGAAGAGTAACCCCTGCTCACCACAACTAGAGACAGCCCGCAGGCAGCAACAGACCCAACGCAGCCAAAAATAAATAAATACAATAAATAAATTTATTAAAAAAATAAAATGGCATAGTATTTGCATATAACCTATGTACCTCCTCCCATATACTTTGAATCATCTCTAGATTATTATAATATTTAATGCAATGTAAATATGATGTTAATAGTTGCTGGCAGGCAGTAAGTTCAAGTTTTACTGTTTGAAAATTTCTGGCATTTTTTTTTCAAATATTTTTGATCCACAGTTGGTTGAATCTGAGGATGCAAAACCCTCAGATACAAAGGGACAACTGTATTGGAGAAATTTGCTACTCAGCTACATTTATTTTATTTATTTACTTTTTTATAAAAGTGTAGTTGATATACAACATTATATGTTACAGGCGTGCAATATAGTGATTCACAAGTTTTAAAGGTTATACTCCATCTATAGTTATTATAAAACATTGGCTATATTCCCTGTGTTGTACAGCTTATCTGTACATAATAGTTTGTACCTCTTAATCCCCTACCCCAACATTGCCCTCCCTCTCCCCCTCTCCCCACTGGTAACCACTAGGTTTGTTCTCAATAAATGGTAGTCTGTTTCTTTTTTGTTATATTCACTAGTTTGTTGTATTATTTAGATTCCACATATAATGATACCATACAGCATTTGTCTTTGTCTGACTTATTTCATTGAGTATAATACCCTCCAAGTCCATCCATGTTGCTGCAAATGGCAAATTTTCATTATTTTTTATGGCTGAGTAATATTCCATTGTATATATATACCACATCTTCTTTATCTTTTCATCTGTTGATGGACACTTAGGTTGCTTCTATATCTTTGCAATTGTAAATAATGCTCCTATGAACAGTGGGGTGCATGTATCATTTTGAATTAGTGTTTTAGTTTTTTTTTTCAGATACATAAGCAGGAGTGGAACTGCTGGGTCATAGGGTAGTTCTATTTTTAGTTTTTTGAGAAACTTCCATACTGTTTTCCACAGTGGCTGCACCAATTTACTTTCCCACCAAGAGTGTACGAGCATTCCCTTTTTTCCACATCCTCACCAACATTTATTATTTTTGTTCTCTTTGATAACAGCTATTCTGACAGGTGTGGGTGATATCTCATTGTGGTTTTGATTTGCATTTCCCTGATGATTAGTGATACTGAGCATATTCTCATGTTCCTGATGGCTATCTGCATGTCCTCTAGCCACAAAAATCAGAGAAGAAAACAAAATAAAAGAACTCCAGATTGGAAAGGAAGAAGTAAAACTGTCACTGTTTGCAGATAACATGATACTATACATAGAAAATCCTAAAGATGCCACCAGAAAACTACTAGCGTTCATTGGTGAATTTGGTAAAATTGCAGGATACAAAATTAATATACAGAAATCTGTTGCTTTTCTATACACTAACAACAAAATTTCAGGGAGAGAAATTAAGGAAATAATCCCATTTACCATCGCATCAAAAGGAATAAAATATCTAGGGATGAGGAGGTAAAAGACCTGTACTCTGAAAACTATAAGACATTGATGAAAGAAACTGAAGACCACACAAATGGATGGAAAGATATATTGTGTTCTTGGACTGGAAGAATTAATATTGTTAAAATGACCATACTCACCAAAGTAATCTACAGATTCACTGCAATCCTTATCAAAATACCAATGGCATTTTTAACATATCTAGAATAAATAACCTTAATATTTGTATGGAAACACAAATGACCCCAAATGTCCAAAACTGTCTTGAGAAAGAAGAATAGAACTGGAGGAATCACACTCCCTGACTTCAGACTATACTACAAAGCTAATCAAAACAGTATGGTACTGGCACAGAAACAGACACATAGATCAATGGAACAGAATAGAGAGCCCCGAAATAAACTCACATATGTATGGTCAATGAATCTACAACAAAGGAGACAAGAATATACAATGGATAAAAGACAGTCTCTTCAATAAGTGGTGCTGGGAAAACTGGACAGTTACATGTAAAAGAATGAAATTAGAACACTCCCTAACACCATACACAAAAATAAGCTCAAAATGGATTAAAGACCTAACTGAAAGACCAGAAACCATAACACTCCTAGAGGAAAACATAGGCAGAGTACTCTTTGACATAAATTGTAGCAGTATTTTTTTGGATCCATCTCCTAAAGCAAAGGAAATAAAAGCAAAGATAAACAAATGGGACCTACTTAAACTTAAAAGATTTTGCACAGCAAAGGAAACCATCAGCAAAGCGAAAAGACAATATACAGAAAGGGAGAAAATATTTGCAAATGATATGACCAAAAAGGGTTAATATCCGAAATATATAAACAGTTCACTCAACATCAAAAACCAAACAACCTGAATAAAAAATGGACAGAAGACCTGAATAGATATTTTTCCAAAGAGGACATGGAGATAACTAATACATTTCAACAAAGAAAGCAAAAATATGTTCTAGTGTAGCACTGCCCATGCAATAGCCACTAGCCAAATGTGACTGTTTAAACTTAAATTTAATAAAACTAATTAAAATTAAGAATTCAATTCTTTATCACACTAGCTACATGTCAAGAGTTCAAAGCAACATGCAGCAAATTCAAAACTGTATTAGATAGTGGAGATATAGAATATAGAGCATTTTCATCATCACAGAAAGTTTTATCTGACAATACTATTAAGGAAAAGGAGGATTAAAAATATAGGTAGATCTGAGGGACTACAGTGCAGAAAGAAGAAACTGTTGTCAATGGTTTGTAACTTTAAGTTGCATGAAAGTTAATGAAGAGTAAACCAGAATTCTTTACGTGAACAGTGTGTGTCTTCCAAAACATAACAACGAGCCTAATATGGTGTGATAGTTAATTTTATGTATCAACTTGACCAGGTAACAGGGCGCCCAGGTATTTGGTTAAACATTGGTCTGGCTGACTAGGAAATACCAGAATATGGAGAGGCAGAGAAGAGAAACCACAGACTGTGTGTAAAAATTTACACAACATTGGCTGACCCCTGAACCGTACATGCATGGGGCTGAATAAAAGCAATCTGAACTAAGACTTGAATCACTGACACCTGCAAGGGTGATATTGAGTTGGATCAAATTAACTGCTTTCTAAAACAAGAACATCAATACTCTTGGAGGAATACAAGAGAATCCAAGCCTTCGCCACAAAGCACTATAAACAGAAAACAAAGCAAAATTACTGAATATATGAAGTGGCAGAAAAATTTGACCTATTTTCATTGGAAACAAACAAATAAAACAATACCCAATAGCTGCTAGCCTCTAGATGATCTAGATGTTAAAATGATCAGACAAGGATTAAAGCAGCTCCTATAACTAAGATCAGCGAGGTAAAGGAAAATTATGCTTGTAATAAACAGAGAAAAAAATCAGTAGAGTAATAGAAAATACTTTAAAAATTAAATAGAAAACTAAAATATCTGAAAAATATTCACTGGATGGACTTTGAGATAGAATGGAAATAACAGAGGAAAGAGTCAGTGAACTTGATCACAGATCAATAGAATTTATCCAATTTGAAAAACAAAGAAAATAGGAATGGAAAAAGGAACAGAGTTCAGGGACTTTTGGAGCAAATGTGAAAACATCTTAAGTAATGTAATTGGACTCCCAGGAAAGAAACAAAAGATAAATTAAAGCAGAAAATTATCTGAAGAAATAATGGTCAGAAACCTCCCAGTTTTATGAAAGACACAAATTTACAAGTTTAAGGAGTTCAGCAAATCCCAACTTATGTACACAAAATGATAACCACACCTAAGCACATTGTAGTCAAACTGTTGAAAACCAAAGATAAAGATACTATCTCAAAAGCAGCCAAAGAAAAACAGTCATAAGACCAAGGACTCTCATCGAAATCATGGAAACTGGGTGACAATGAAACAATAGCCTAAAGTTCAGAATGATGAGGAAACAAAACAAAAACTTGTGAAACCAGCATTTTATATATAGAGAAAAATCCTTCAA